ATATTTGGAAAGCCAATTTTTCTTCTCAAGAACCAGTGCCCGATGATGTTAGAACAATTTTGTCTATACGATGTTCAGACAAAAATTGCAACAATAATAAGTGTACCTGCATTTCACAAGGATTAAAATGCTGCAGTGATTGCAAATATACAAACTGCTGTAACAGCCTAACCTATGAAATTTTATCAGACTGCGAAGATGCAGACTTTTAGAATATTTTTTTTGTTATTTGGTTTAATTAGTTTTATAATTTTTTGTTTAATGCTTTTGCAATTTTTTTAGAGACTATTGAGTTTTTTTTGTTTTTGTTTGATCAGATGTACCTATTAAATAATGTAAAATAATGGTCAATGTAAATATCTTTAATTTAACTTGCTATAAAAAGAGTTTATTCATGCGATGAAGATAATTTTAATAATAAAATTTTATATTGTTAATCTAAACTAAAGCAATAGCTAAACTATAACTTTTTTAAAATGTTTAGGAACTTTTATTAATTTACAGGTCACAGGTATAATTAAGTCGGCGCCCCCACAATAACACTAACAGTATTTTTAGCCACATCCCCAACTAGCCATTCATAAAAGTGTATTTGTTGTGAAGTTCTCATCATCATCTATTGTATAGTCCAGGAGACAGTGACGATTTTCGGTATTTATTTTCCCAGTCAGCAAGCACGAATAGAGAATTGTAGGATTAGCAATTCTAAGCAAAATTCATATATATTTAGAGGGGGGATCCGATGGGCTGAGGCCGAAAATGCGTCAAAACATACGAGAACACGGCCCTTTTTTTCCATTGATAAAAATAGTTTTAGTAGTAAGAGATGTACTGAAGTTAAGTAAAAAAATAGTCTGATTAATCTGTATGGATAATATATTTAGCAAGTGCATAAAATACACTTTCAAACGAGTTATGTACACAATTATTTCTACGACCACAATTATTTAAAGAATGTTCCAGGTGTTTTGTATATTAAAGTGTACGCATAGGACACATAAATAAAATCTTATATCACAATGTTTCACCTAACCAGTTGGTTTATTTATAGAAATTAAACATAATAATTGAAGATTTTACAGAAGAAAATAGGGAAATAAATTACATTTCCTTTTACACTTTTATATAATAATTGTTTTATTTAGAATTCACGAATCACTTATTACTTACTCTACATTAATTATAATTATTGTTAGTTTCGTTATGTCAAATCATTTATACTAGAGGTGTGAGGAAAATACAGTGAACTATGGAACGCCAATATCGTTGGATGCGCGTGGTAGAAATGGTCCTATAATACTGGTAAAAACATAAAAACATAGCTAAATTTTCATGGAAACACTGTACTTTTGACATTTGCGATACTCCGACGCATATGCATTATTGATGTAATCTCATGATTTTACAGTAATAGTTTTTGCAATTTTAGTGTGATTTTTAGGTTATTATGGTTATTCATTTTATTTGATTCTGATCTTTTGCGCTTTTAGGGTATTTGTCTTTTATATAGTTTTTAATTTGAATTTTAATATTGTGGTCTATTTATATTTGATTGCTGCTTTTCGACTAGTGCTTTATTCTTTTTGTGTTAAAATAAGCTTTATAACCATTAAGTACATGCTTCTAGTTGATATCTACCTAATCGTCATCGGGTGCTTGCAACAATGGGAAAAAGTGTATGGTTTTTTTGGTGTAAAGTTAGACGCCTTCATTTTTCAGGTAAGTTATTTGTAGTTATTTTTTACTTAAAAGGATAGCAATACGTTCTGGTTCGGGGTGTGACTTTTGGGTTTTAGCTATCTGAGCCAAATTGTCGGCTAAGTGTCCTCTTTTAGGGCACCCAGAACCGAAAACTATATAGGTATATAATATGTTTTTTTTTAATTGTTTTTTAATATGTATGCAGCTAGGATGAGTGCTTTAGGAAGAGATCCTAAGACTGAACACTGACTGCTATAAATGCCGTTTTTAGAGCACATTTCATAGTAAGTGATTTCATTCTAGCAGCAATGAGGAAACGTTTAAAAAACATGCTGTACCAGCTATTACTTTAAGACCTCGTCTCTTTAAGTTATTATTACTTCATTCTAATGCATATATTAAAATGGTTTTCAACTTATGTCCTTATGATTAAAAGATGTAGGTATTTTAGTTATGTTATAATAGAAATATATGATACTTTGTATTGACTGACCTACTGGCCACTGGTCATTCCACTTTTACTCCCTTTTTTCATAAATTATCAAATTATTTAAAAACAAATACATACCTAGCTATTTTCTGTAAATTACATTAAAATTTTAGTATTAATACTTTACTAATAAAACTTCAGTTAATTTATCTTATATATATACACACAACGGAAGAGTTAATTGGATTTTCTCCTTGTTGAGTTTCAAAAATAGTAATTTAACATGATTTAAAAACAAATACATGAAATGGGCAAAATAGGCCTGCAAAGGCACTTTGTAAACAATCTCACTTGTATCGATGTGACGTAATGCGCGAATTCAATCTGGCTTACTTTTGTTAATAGATTGGCGTTCCATTTTAAGTATACAGTTCACCGGGAATAGATATTTAAATATACACGGACCGGGAAAACAAGTACGAAAAAAATCACTGGCTCCTGGACTAGTACTGTATCGAAGGAATTTTTATGAATGAAACAATATACGACCCTCCACAATTGCGGTCTACTCTACTTCCGCTGTTGTCAGACATTATTTTTTTTGGACAATTTAAAGACCTAACAGTAATTCAAGCAAACGCAATAACATTACTATAGTTAAAAACATCGCAAACTTGGCATCAATATTTTAATTTTATCCAAATATTGCATTTCTGTCGAGGATCATCCGCGTTGACTTCAGAAATTATGTAATCTGTATTGGTTATATATATCTATAGTTAAAAGCACGTAAACTTGGCATCAATGTTCAATCCGATTATTGAGTTTCTACCGCGGACACCACCGTTCATTCTTCAAAAAATTTGTAAATAATCCTATCTGTCTTGGTTATATATCTATGTTTTTAGCTAGCTGCACGGCTGCGGCCGGCGCAGTGACCCATGGAGGTGCGAAACCTTTTAACTTCAAGTAGGTAACTATTGCTTGAAAACTATGATACTTAGAATAGTGATTGTTGTTTTAAAAACTTTCTTGAAGCTTTAGCTTTATTTGTTACGTAGATAGTTTAGTAAAATTTTGAAAAATAAAAAAGTTTTTCGATTATTGAAAATAGTGCTGCAAAAACGTAAAGATTAAAGTTTTGTCTAGTTTTACAAAAAAAAACTAGGTTTTCTATACTAATGACACTAACACAGTAATCTCCGCTTACGTTTCTTCTGCCGATTAAAAAAAAATTTGAAAATATCTTGTTTAGTTCCGGAGATATCGCGAGGTATGTGTGAAAAAGTAATAAAACATAATTTTGACAGATTTTTGACAAATTTCGCAATAAAAAATGTTGTCCCCAATAAAAAAATGTTGTAATTGCCGATTTCAGATGGCCAGGGACCTAAACTATTATTTTGTAAAGACCACATGTGGTTGTACCTTAAAGAAAAAATTTAAACCTTTTTGCTCGTTTTTCAGTCCACTAATTGTATCGTTGTCCTCTTTCCCTCCATACTATTATTCGGCCATTGCAGGTATATAAAAGAAATCTTGACTTGTCGAAAAAAAAATGTCTCCAGTTTTCAAAATTCCAAAGAGTGTGTTCGTTCGTCCAACGATGTCTGCAAGCGCGCTGATCCGCCGTCAACCGTGGATGTGTAGCACGTCTTCTGGCTCTTATGTTACATGTATACATATAACCTTTTTCTGACAGTTTGACTTGAAATTACTTTTCTCGTGGCTTATCTGAAAAAACTGTTAATTCTTGAAGCTGTATATATATACTCGTGTATATGTTCGGTTTCTTCTTGCAGTTAGGACTATTAAACGGTCTTTGGTTGTTGCTCATTCCCGTCCTCCTCCATGCCTGTACGCTGCAGTACTTGCTTCTAAGTACCTATTTCATGCCCGATTTATCGCACTTTGCCGTAGGTCTAAACGCGTAGCCACTTCTTCTTGAGATAAACCTTTATGTATCCAAAGCTTTAATTGATCAGGTTGCACTGCTTCTAATCGTCGTAACGTCATATTATTGGTGAAAATTAACAAAAGTATTGAAATTGTTGAAAGCAATTCTAAATTTTATAATTTTAGTATCGAATTTAAACAGTTTTTATTAAAGAGATAAAAAGTATACAGAAATAAAAAAGAAATCCAAAAAATGTTTGCTTTAAATTGGTGTTTATTATGGTATACAATGTGATCATTTGAATAATACTTTTCAATGCAAACTTCAGTCCAAATATAATTGTCCAGTTCAATTCCCAAGTTTTACGAAGTATTTTATAACAGTTTGTAATAATAATTATTAATGTTATGAAGTTACCTACTTTAAAACTATTTAGCATAAAAATCATTTGGTTATATACTTGTTTAGTTTTGGTAAAATACGTAATTTTTTTTAGTTTTTACTAAAAATATGCCTTACTTGATAGATATTATTTTTGAAATATTTAAAAATAAAAATAATAATAGTATTATTTTGATGGAATTAATACAAAATGCTTGTAATTATTGACACGCGCAATATAAAAGTTGTGATTATTAATATTGATTTTCGATAAAAAAAAACATATTAAAATGGCGCTCCTGAAAAATATTGTTTTTTTTTTATTGTGTCACTATTCTGGAGAAGAAACTTAATCTCAAATAAAACACTTTGATACAATACACGTTGCTAAAGATAAAGACCACATAAAACAATTAAAAGAAGTTTAAATCTAAATTTGAAGGAGATAATGGTATACTTTTTTATTAAAAAAATATATACAATACCTATTTGCTTCAGTTTAATCATTTGAAAATAAAAATATACATTAAAATTTTCAATTAATATATTCTTTATTAACTTCTTAATTAATGGATTTTTTTAATTTTACAGAATTAGATAAAAATGTAACAGATTTTGAAAAATACCATATAAAATATGGTACCAGTGGTAGTGACCATCCTTGCAAGAGAATTTGCCAAGGTGAAACACCCCCAATGTTTTGTGGATACCAGTTTAAAATTGAAAACTACCATACTTTGAGTAAAGCTTGCTACGATTGTCCCTTTAATGTTAAAGACTGCTTTAGAAAAGACTGCGTACCTGGAGATGGTACTAAAAGAGGAATAGTTACAATTAATAGACAGATACCTGGATCTGCAATAGAGGTAAGTGGGTATTAAAAGTTTAAAATATTCTACCCTAGTTTTTACCGGAATAACAAAAAAAAATAACGATTAGTGGAATAAAATGTGCCAGGCTGAACATTTTTTTATTAACATACAAGAAAAACGGTGTGGCCATACTAAACAAATATGAACAAAACAACATTTAACACAAGGACTAAAACTAAAATGTTAAATTAGATTTATAAAAAGATAAAAATTGTTTTAAAAATGAAGTAGTTCAAATTATGACAGTCCATCAATAAAATAAGTTAAGAACTAAAGAAATAGATTAATTTACCTCTATTAGAAACAATAAAATAAACAAATAAATCTACCCATGATTACTGAAAAGAAGTAAAGACGGCCTTGAATAAGGAAATTAAGAGTTGCAAAAACAAAGAAATATAATAAATGAATAACAATTATATTTCGTATACTCGTCTTAATAGATGTACATATAGTACCATTATTACGCTTTATTGAGCACAATTTTAAAGAGTGAATTACAAATAATAGACATAAAGCACTCTCTTTTTAGCCGCTACATTACGTGCCCCGTCCACTATCTCATTTTGAGTGATTTTTTAAAAAAAAATTGGTGAAAAAAAATTGGTGAAACGTCGTTTCAGATTGTAAAACAGGATAAAAATCTAATGTAAAACTAAAGAAAACAAGAAGAAATCAATTCAATGTCTTTTTAAATCCTCTAATGTAAGTAAAATAATGTATTCATGACTAAATATAATATTTAATGTAAACTAGTCACAATATATATCTTACGAAGTGTAGTTTATTTTATTACAAGTCTCTATAATATATAATTTTACAGTTATAGATGCTGACTTACAAACAACAATAATTATGTATTACATTTAACTTACTATAAAAGAAAATTTATTTTTTATAGAGTTTTAATGTTAGATAAAGAGTTGCTACTATTATTTTTTTTTGGACCCCAATTGTGTCATTTTAATGTTGTTTATAGGATACTAAACCTTTAGAACAGTGGCAGCATATATATCGTTTCTCCTGCCGATAAAGCACTTTCTAGAGATGATGCTATTTTTTACTTTTTAGAAGATATTATCATATATTATGAGACTATTTTTACTGATGGTACTGTTAGCAAAATAAAAAGGGGAAAGCTGAAATTAAAGGATGAGGTAATACCATGTACATTCCCAAATCTCCCTTTATACTTGTATTACAACAATAAAAAAGCTGTTTACTGTGTTTTGTTTTACTCTTAAAACTATATATTAGTTCAATTCAAAAAAAAATTTTGCCACAAAATTGTACTTACCAAATTTGAACATTAAGAAACCTTTTCGAATTTGGTCATACGTACCTAATTTGTATTTTATATAGATAAAATTAAATAAATTATCAATTAAAACATGCAAGACTTATTTAGAAATAAATACAACAGTGTGTTTTGTGCTTTATTTAGCTATAAACAAGTTTATTTTTATTATTTTGACAAAATTATGTATAATTCCCATAAGAAGCTATATATTTTGAACAGCGTATGCAGTACCAGCGCCCATGCGGTTAATTATAGAAGCTCAATTAGCATGCGTTTTTTGGGACCGTATTTTAGGTATTCCGATTTGTCTCCTTCACAGTTACTCCATAGTTACTCCTTTTGTAAAAAAAAATTGTATCTGTCTATTTATGCACCAAAATATTAAAAAAAAGTAGCAGCGGAATCTACATAAACTATTTGGTAGGCCACACAAACCCATGACTAATCACAGTAACCTTCTAATAGTGGCTTTTAATAACATCGATTACTAATTACAAAAAGCTTATACAGGCTGCAAATAAAATTTATTTTTAAAAGCGAGTTTGGGTAATTTAAACAGTTCAATAACAAATGTGGTTCAAATTGCGTATGTATATAGTCATAATTTTTTATATATTAAGTTTTAAAGCCTACTAATTAGTACCCGTTAATTTACAATAATCAAGGCATAAAATTAACAAATCTATAAAGTTTTTATCATATTCCTGCTTATACTCGTAGAATAGAAGGAACTGATATGTTAATTATGATGGCAAGTTAATATTTAACATGAATTTATACAGTGCGTCCATAAAGTAACGCATAAATTCATTATTGGCTAAATGAACAATAAAATTAGGAATTCCCAAAACAGGTCGATTTTTGATTTCAATTTACTATTGTTTCAAATCATAATCTAATATACAGGGTGAACCACTTTCGTGTAATGACGTCATCACCATTTTTTTCAAATGGAACCCCCCCTTTTTTTTCAATTTCCAAATTGCCTTTGCTGAGCTGATTCCAAAAATGTATAATATGTTGCTTCAAATTGGTACAGGGTGGGCAAAAATGCAAAAAAAAAAATATGAAAATTGTTTATGGAAAGTAATACGTTACTGAATGTAATAAACAAATTAAATGGAATTATGTAGTTATGCAGTTAATGTGATACACTTCCAAAAACAAACAAACGAACGAAAATTTACAATAAATGTTCAAATTGTTCTCCATTGACCGTTAGACAATGACTGAACCGGGCATTACTTTCGTCTCTAACATTCTGTAGCATAGCGGGTGTTATGCTCTGTATTTCTTGTCTGATTCGGTCTTGTAGTTGAGGGATATTTCCAGGTCTGTTGAAGTTGACTTTAGATTTTAAATAACCCCATAAAAAGAAGTCTAATGGGTTCAGATCAGGTGATCTAGCAGGCCATTCCACTGGTCCCCTTCTTCCTATCCACCTTTGTGGAAAAGTTGTGTTTAAAAAATTGCGCACAGCTACTGCGTAATGTGGCGGTGCGCCATCCTGTTGAAACCAGATTCTGCGGTCTACATTAGTGGGTATTTGAATATCAGGAAAAAGCTGGATCAGATCAGGAATTAATGTATTTTGTAGGAAATCCAGATATAATGCTCCTGTTAAGTTTTCATCGAAAAAATATGGACCAATAATTGTATTTCTCACAATACCAGCCCATACGTTAGTTTTTTGTGGTCTTTGCGTATGGTACTCTTGCATCCAGTGTGGATTTTCATCAGACCAATAACGGGTGTTTTGCCGGTTAACATGACCGTTCAAATAAAACGTTGCCTCGTCCGAAAATAAAACGTTATCAATGAAATTGTTATTTTGGTTCATCATATACTCGCAGAATTCAGTTCTTCGGTCAAAGTCGTCTTCAGCCAATTCATGGATGAGACGTACTTTATAAGGATGGTATTTTACCTTTTTGAAAATGTTTGATACTGAACACTTTCCAATACCAAAATCCCTAGATAATCCTCGCACTGTACAGTGTGGATTTTCTACAGCCGACAAAATTATGTCTTGTTGAATATTTTCATCAATTTTTGGTCTACCTTGCCTTGCTGCATCCCTCACATGTCCTAATTCTCTGTATTTTCGCTCTATTCTACTTACCGTAGATTGTGAAATAGGTTCACGATCTGGGTGCATTTCATGGAATAATCGGCATACCTCTTGTTGAGTCCGCATCTTATCGCCAATACCAATCATCATTAATATTTCAATCCTGTCACTTTCGGTTAAAGGCATTTTGTAAAAAAAGTTCACGAACGTACCTTCTCTACAGCGTTAACAATACGAAACTGTGCTTCAATGTTTTTGACAGTGTTGTCAAATAAAAAAAACTGGTATGTCAAATAAAAAAAACTGGTAAAAGATAATGCCAAACAAAAAGATTTTTATAGTCCAGGGGCTTGGATCACTAATAAAAGCTGTAAGATACAATTATTAAGAATAATGCTGTATGTTCTTGATAGTTTATCAAAGTAGTTGTAATAACAATACGTAATTTCATTTAATGTGTTTATTACGTTTATTCGTTATTTTCATTACTTTGTAAGTAAATTTTTGCATTTTTGCCCACCCTGTACCAATTTGAAGCAACATATTATACATTTTTGGAATCAGCTCAGCAAAGGCAATTTGGAAATTGAAAAAAAAGGGGGGGTTCCATTTGAAAAAAATGGTGATTACGTCATTACACGAAAGTGGTTCACCCTGTATATTAGATTATGATTTGAAACAATAGTAAATTGAAATCAAAAATCGACCTGTTTTGGGAATTCCTAATTTTATTGTTCATTTAGCCAATAATGAATTTATGCGTTACTTTATGGACGCACTGTAGAATTGCTTTCCATATTTAATATACCTTATATTTTTATATTTTTAACATTTATTAAATTTTAACATATTTGTTATAGAGTTACCACTATAGTCTATTAGGATAATTAATAATTTAAAAAATAAATTAAGTTCATCAATTTAATAAAATTCAATTTTTTTAATCTAGATACCTATAAAAAGAATGTAAAGATACACTCCTCTTGATTTTTAAACGTTTTAAACCGGCTTTTAAACTTTAATTTCTAATCTTGTAGAATTCTTGAACTCAATTTATGTTAAAAAAATATTTAGGAATAATATACCTTTCCCGTTATTCGACCTTTTCGTATTACCCATGCGCGAAAAAAGAGCGTGAATTTTGAATATAGTTGATTCCAAACAACTTATTTTCTTGTATCCTTACCCTAACTAAAATTATTGGGTTGGCTACAACGAAAGTGATTTTTTACACATAGGGCAGTTTTTTTGCACATTTTTTACTACATCTTCATAATAAAAGCCAAATCAAATATTATAAATAAAGGACCCCGCACACCGCTTATGGAAAAGTGGCGACCTGTTAAATGTCATAAATTTTTGACATATTGCAGTTCTCGACCTTTTAAGCAATAGTGTTCATGGGACCATTCAAATCCTATGACTGGTTTTTGAGATACTTAAGAAATACCACTTATTTGAAAACGGTTAATTCAGGAGAAAGATAATCGATTATAATTTTTTGTGCAAAATCTTATTGTAACATCTTTTGACTTTCTACGAATATAAAAGGGTATCAAAAATTATTTTCCTTTACAGCAGTGCTCCGCAACCGGTGTGCCGCGGCACACTGGTGTGCCGTAA